TTTTTTTTTTTTTTTTTTTTTTTTGGTCCCTTCTGCCCCCCAAATGGCGATTGGAATAAATTTTGTAACTTTCTAGAAAACTCCAAACTCAGGAATTGAAATTGCATTCTCAAAATAGGGTCACAGAACTTTCAGTATTTTTAGAGTGAGAACAAAATGATTAAAAAAATTTTTTTGTAATAGTTTATTTTTACATCATTTTGTGCCTTTTTCCATCTCAGTTGTAATCCCCGTGGGCTTCACACCACCAATCACCCAGTATACCATCACCAGTCCCATGTACTTCCTCCCTCCCCCTATTTTTGATCCCATTCTCCCCTCCACCCTGGTAAAATGTCTCTGGTATATAGTTCTTCATTTTTTTTTTAATAATTTTTAAAAAAGATTTATTTATTTATGCACACAGAACTGGGGTACAGGCCAGAGGTGCAGGTGCAGTGAGAGGATTCACCAGAGACAGAGTGGGGAGCAGAACAGGCCAACTGAGGTAGTACACTGCTGAGGGGAGCAGGGGCCGGTCATGAGAGGTCTGACACGCCATGTGGGTCATCTTGGGGGCAGGGATCGAACTTATGCTGAAGTGGCTTTAGCTTTTCAGTGCTGTGCTTTAACCAGCTGCCAGGGAAGGCCCAAAATGATTTTTTTGAAAATGATTTTTTGGAGTTACCAGCACATCCATCTCTCCTTTCTTGCTTGCCTTTTCCCTTCATGCCAGGAAATTAATGTTATGAGTACATGTGGATTGTCATACAGTGGCACATACAGGTACCATCCATAATGCATACAGAATGTGGGTTATGGATTTTTTTCTTAAAAATAAAGGTGTTTAGGCTCTCCCTGGTGCCATAGCTTGTTAAAGCGCAGCACTGTAAGCAGGCCGCAGCTTTTAGTGCAAGTTGGATTCCCGGCCCCGGAGGTGATCCACATGGGCGGCAGACCTCTCCTGACCCATCCCTGCTCCCCTCAGCAGTGTACTTCGTCAGCTGGCCTGTTCTGCTCTCCACTCTGTCTCTGGTGAGTCCTCTCACTGCCCCTGCATCTCACCTCTTGCCTGTACCCCAGTTCTGTATGCATAAATAAATAAATCTTAAAAAAAAAGGTGTTTAAATATTTCTTTTCCAAATTATATAATTGTGGGATTTTGGCGAGAAAAAGTTTCAAGCAAACAAAGTAATTGCACAGCCTCAGCAGTCTGGTAGGCAGTACTGGTGGGAGAAGCTGAAAACACTTGCTCACTCTCACAGGGACTAGGAGGCTGTCCCATCACATGTCATTTGCATGTGAGTGATTAGGTAGCATGAAATAGGATTTCGGAAAGGACGGGGAACAAATGGGAAGTCTAGTACCAGACTGAGGTCTACAGAAAGGGGATAAATTGTACTTTGCTCCCTTTTGGGCGTTTCCTATCTAACTCATTGCCTGTCAACATGAAGGTAGCATGACAACATGAACTGTGAGTCAGAAGATCTGTGGTTTAGGGTTTATATTACCAACCCTTGAAGTCTGGAGACTGTAGAGGGACAAACTCTCCTCTAGTTCTATTTCATTCAGACTTGTGACTTCAAGTGGAATAGAATCCTAGCCATCTCCCCCACTCCATCCACTGTTTTCAGATGCCACCTTGATTACTCATGGCATCTTTTAATTAGCTTACCACTTTGTATAACCACTTTTATTGAGTAAAGTGTCAGTTGTTTACATTAGTTACTTTCTAGCAAAGCCTGGTAAATGTCTTGATATTGTAGGACTTTCAGATTTTTATTTGAATGGAAATCTTAGCATCGTGCTGAGCACATAATAGGTACTCTGTAAATATTTATAGCTGTAGACTAAATAATTATTTTTCTAGACTGCTATTCCATGAATATAGGAACATTTTGTTGTGATTGTTGTTCATCAAAAAATTTCTGATATCTAGAGTATTACTTGGCATATAGTATTTGTTCAGTAAACACTTGTTGAATGAATAAGTGCTAACCAATCCAATACTTAATGTAGCTTATTATTGCCTATCAATATGAAGTTAGCATACCAGCATTGACTTGTGATTGAGGTGATGTGTAGTTTAGTTATATTACCAACCATTTGTGTGATATTGAGTGAATAATTTGACATCTGGAGTTCATGTTTCTTCTTTTGCAAAATATGGGAGTTGGGATGATGGATAGAGCCAGTTAAAAAGTCACTGTTTTATAATTACCTAACCTAAAGTTAATTATTACCTAATCCAATTGCATTTGAGTAAAGCATTGCTGTTGACAAAATGATTGGATACATATCATCACATGTAATTTTCATAGCTGTCCTGAATTATCTCCATTTTGTTGATGTTATTGAGTGTTATACATACAGAAAATGAGGTATGGAGACATTAAGCCATTTGGGTCACTTAGAAAATAAATAGATTAGAATCCAGGTCATTTGACTAAATATCTAGAGCTCTTTCTTCTCTGTAGCACAGCCCTTTGAGACTCGGGATCCTGTTGGCTCTCAGAGTAGCCAAGTTAAACTAACTTAAGTAATAAGGAGACTTATTTTACCTAATGACAAGTCCAGAGGTAGAATGGCTTCAGGGTTATTCAGCAACTGCAAGGTTGTTCAGCAGCTCAGCGCTTTCCATCTTATCCATCTTTTTGCCCTGCCATCCTAAGCACTTTGGCTATTTCACTTATAAGGTCATGATTTATAAGGTGGCTGT